GGCAGCGGCGGCGCGCGGGCGGGCCGGCTGGGATCTGCTCGCGCCGGTTTAGGCCGGTCCTCTCCTGCTCCAGTCTAGTTCTTGATTGACAGCCAGGCACTTGTTTACCACGGCGCGGCCGCGGCGGCTCGCCTCCGTGAGACTGCTGAGCTGGCACAAAAAAAAAAGCGAGACGGGAAGAAAGGCGAGGGGAGGGGAAGGCAAACTTTGGGCGCATTCGAGGGGCGCGGGTGGGGGAAGCCCCAACTCGGGAGGAGTCGGTGGGGTGGGGGTGGTCCCCGGGGCTGAGACACGCAGGACCCGGCTCTCCCGGATTCGTGGATGAAAGTCTGGAGGCGCTCCCCCCGCCCTGGGTGCTGGGGCGCATCCCGGGGTCGGTGCGCACTCAGGACTTGGGTGATGGGAAGCCAAATGGAGCCTCATGCTGATGGTGTCTGCACCTGGAAAACCACCGAAGACATGGGTGCAGTTGTATTACCCAGTAGAAAGCTTGCCAGAGCCATGTTAATAACCCAGAGCCCTGCCACACAGTTTCGCTAACTGTATTTTCATGACACACACACAAAGCATTTGATCAAAAGAATATGGGTTATAAAATGAAGGGGCAAACCATCCCCCAACCCCCCCCCCACACACACACCTACACAGCAACTGGAAGCTACCCTTAATTAGATTTCCTTATTTCAACGATGTGGAAGCAGCATACTTTTACATTTTAAACCCCATCCCTTGTAATTCACTGAAGTATACTTTGTATAAATGAGAAGTCTAGTTCTTGCTAGGATGGACTGAGTATATGCTAGATCAATAAAAAAAATATTTTTAGATATGAAACTTAAGCTCAAAAAAAATCACTGTTCCTGTTTTTGTGTTAAACGACCAACATTTTTGACGAGATTTCCTGGTGATTTTCGAATTGTGATCTGCACATTCTATTCAAGAATGTCAGTTCTTATTCCTCCCTCTTCCCCCCCCCCCCGCCAAAAATGACCTAAATTGTTCCTGAACGTTTTTCTTTTTTATACATTACAGTCTTGATTTTTAAGTAAATAGTAGCTGGTAAAACATGACATGATCAGAGACCTGAATGTTTCTCATAGAAGATATATTAGACCTGGTTAGCTATTGTTCTGGTCATTTTCCATTTTAAAAACCAGCCTGTGGGGAATAGAGTACATTAATATACCCCCTCCCCATTTTACAGAGCAAGCAGGTGAAGAGTGATGGAGGTGGGGGTTTGGTTTTTGGTTTTTTTCAATATGAAGAAAATTGGAATTAGATGCTAGTCTCTAATAACACTCCAAAGCTTGTCACCTTCGTCATTAAGAAACCATGTTAGAAGTTTGCCTTCCTGAGGTGTGTGGACATTTTATCACAATTTTTGGTTTTCTTTTTCCACTTTTCTAGATGATGAAAATTCTGAAGACGGCTTCAACACTATTCATTCAGGAAGGCATGAGTATGCATTCAGCTTTGAGCTTCCACAGACGTAAGTATATTAAGTAACTAAGCATTTTTCATAGAGATCCATAGTCAAAGACAGTCCTTTAAAAGTAAATATTCTAAATTTAAATATCTTTGTTTTAAAAAAAACCCTTTTCATTATACAAAATTGCTAGAGGAAAACAAGATATTAAACAGAAGAAGCTATCTTTCATGTAGAGTGGCAAAATTATAGAAGGCCAGTTCAATTAATAGTTCTGTCCTAAATTCTATAAGGTTTGAAAAACAAGAATATTTCATTACTATTGGTAGGAAGCACTAGTCAAGTAATATAAATTATATATTTTCATTTATCTTCAGAAAGGAGTACTTGGCAAGTCTCAGTGGTGTCCATTTGTAAAAATTGAGTTTTCTACCTGTGTTGCTAGTAGTAATCCTTACCAGTAAATTTAGAAAGGGAGGTGTCTGGCACTATTCTTGGAATCCTGTTCTTTAGATACAAATTCAGTAGCTTTTGTGCACCTGGGAAAGCCCCACAAGGTGTTATGTCCTACATTTAAGAGAACACCCATCAGAAACACCTTGGTGTAAACCTGGGGCTCTCCTACATTTTTAATAATGGGTTGTTGTAAGAAACTAAGCAAACTATTTTACATGATGACTATTAACAAATATTCAAACCGGTGCTTGTACTGATTGCCCAGGAGAATAAACTTTAAGCTACAGAATAATTTTTAATGTGCCATATAATATGTTTGTTCTAGACTTGAGTTGGTATTGTACACTGGGTTCATAAGTCATTTTATTGGCATATCATATATTATTAATTTATCTGTAAGGCAAAGTCATTTAATATAAACCAAAAAAAAACTAGTATGTAGTGACAATGTAGAAGTACTCCATTTTATTTCCTTGTACTATATAAATTAATACTGAAAACTAAAACGGATGAAATCATTTGTGAAATGCTAATGCTTCTACCAATCTATTACTCCATTTTGTAAATAACCGAATCTTGGAAATAACTGTAATGAAATTATAGAAAACAGACTACTTACTAAAATAAAAGTTTCTGTGAGTAATCCGAAAATCTGACCAACTTCAAAAACAATCCTAATTTCTTTTAAGATAGGTCAATGAGAACATTTTTTTTCTTTTCGCCCTTAGAAAGTAAACTTTGAAAACACAGCCAAAAGAGAATTCAAATATGAGTAAACTGGAAAATATAAAATCAATTTCAGTGGATTTATGGAAGTTTTGCAACTAATATTGACTGTTCTAAATTTTTCTGACCTTGAATTAGTTGCTATGAAAAGAAGTAATGATTAGTAGCTAAGAAGTGAACTGCAATAGGGAATTTAGTCTGAATATTTGACCACTGTATATTTTTCCCAAATCGAAGTATTAAAGCCATTCTATTTTCTTTTTCCAGAGCTGGGAATTGAACCCAGAGCTTTATACTTGATCTTACCAAGAATTGTTAATTACATACACTTCCATAATTTTGCCACTATCATTAAAAGTAGCCTCTTTTTAGTTTAAAGGAATTGTATTCTTCTAGCTTTTTAAAGCAAAATTTTCTATAACATTTAACTGTTACCTCTTACCAACTATTATTTGGAAATAAAAGCTTTTTTTCCCCACTGACTTATCCCTTTGGAAAAATTTTAAAGTCTTACGTTTTGATACCTGATTGGTACATATACAGTACAATATATTAATACTTTTATATATTCTGAACTACTGTATGATTTTTGAAAGAGGTATAAGATTAATAAATTCATCTTTATATTCTACACAGACCACTTGCTACCTCATTCGAAGGCCGACATGGCAGTGTGCGCTATTGGGTGAAAGCCGAATTGCACAGGCCTTGGCTTCTACCAGTAAAATTAAAGAAGGAATTTACAGTCTTTGAGCATATAGATATCAACACTCCTTCATTACTGGTAAGAATTGACTGAATTCTTCATTCTTTGGTTTTGGAATATAAAGAATAAACTATGAAATCTTCGTACCTTTAAAATACTTTTTTTAATTCCATAAAAATAATACAGTAAAGAGCACACAAGTTAATGAAGAATATGCTCATATTTTTTATATAAAACTAATTTTAAATTTAAAAGTAAAACCAGTATGTGGTATGCAATAGCACTTCTTCAGAAAATGATATCAATAACAGCAACAACAACAAAAAATTTCTGTTCCTTAGATTTTTTTTTTTTTGTGGAAAAGGAACAGTAGTATCACTGATTATAAGACATTTTCATTTAATTGAAAATGCCAGCCTAAAATTTGTACTACATTGCATTATTCCAACTAGGGATAGTTGTCAAATGATGGGGAATCATCACTTTCCTGAAAAGTCTTAATCCCTTTGTAAAATCAATCTTTGTAAATTGTTTTCTGTGAGATTGATATTTTGCTTTATATGATTTAAACAAATGGTAACATCTTTAAAGCGAATGAGAATTATAACTATAATGGAGAGTTTCATATATAAAGATATGAATATCTGTATCTATTTATGGTTTTTTTCATTCTCAAAGATGTTAACATTTGGGATTCTGACCAAGTTATTTTCTGTACTGCCTTTCCTTAATGCAGTTTAAATGGAACTTGGAAAGGGTTTTTTTTTTAAATTTGATTGTTTCTATTTTAATTATTGTATATGTAAATAGTGTGTTCAAACTATATCTGTAGGTTAGGGTGTCAAGCCTTTGTTTTTCTGTTTTTTTTTCTTTAGTGAATGGAAATGTATATGAAGGTAAAAGTGGTAAAATTCAGAAGTCATTGGTTAAGAAAAAGTTTAGGTACAAGGGGGAAAAACAATTCTCTTAATCATAAATTCTCTTAATAACTTAAAATTGTATTTTACAATATTGTGTATTTTACCAGTTCACGCATTGATCTTTTTCTCAAATTTTATTTCTTGCAGTCACCCCAAGCAGGCACAAAAGAAAAGACTCTCTGTTGCTGGTTCTGTACCTCAGGCCCAATATCCTTAAGTGCCAAAATTGAAAGGAAGGGCTATACCCCAGGTATGTTTGAAATCAATCCCCACAGAAAAGAATCTAGCTTCACTAAGCTTTTGGATGTATATTTACAATATTAGTACCACATGTAAACGTATAAACATGATTCAGTATTCTTTGGTAAAATAACATGAATTATGCTAATCTATTTTCTCTTCCTAAATTGGAGTGTGGTCTCCATTTTTGTATAGCTATTATAAATTAGTGAGTCATTTTTATGACTCTTAGTGACTTGTTTTCTCCTAGGATCCATGTAACTAATTGAACTTTGTAATGTTAAGAATCTACCATATAATTTGGTGGGATTGGGAGGGTGGGTAGGGGGGTTTTTGTTATTGTTGTTTTGTTTCAGTTTTTTATTTTAAATACTAAGCACAGCTTTTCTTTCCCTCCCTAGGTGAATCAATTCAGATATTTGCTGAGATTGAGAATTGCTCTTCCCGAATGGTGGTGCCAAAGGCAGCCATTTACCAAACACAGGCCTTCTATGCCAAAGGGAAAATGAAGGAAGTCAAACAGCTTGTGGCTAACTTGCGTGGGGAATCTTTATCATCTGGAAAGACAGAAACATGGAATGGCAAGTTGCTGAAAATTCCACCAGTTTCACCCTCTATTCTGGATTGTAGTATAATCCGTGTGGAATATTCACTAATGGTATGTATAGATTTTAAGTTTTTCATTCTTGTCCTAAAGTCATGAGGGTGTGATTTAGTCTTACATCTAGAGGTTGATTTTTGTATTCCACATGTAGTGGTAGATACAAATATGTAGGAGTCAATAATTTCATGTACAGGATTGCACATGAAAGTTTTCATGTGTATAAAAATTTGAGTGGTGACCTCAGATCACCTGAACATTGGGTCATTTGGTTTTAAAAATAAAATTGTACTTGAATTTCTAACCCAGTGTCTCTCTTCAAAATTTCAGGTATATGTGGATATTCCTGGAGCTATGGATTTATTTCTTAATTTGCCTCTTGTCATTGGTACCATTCCTCTCCATCCATTCGGTAGCAGAACCTCCAGTGTAAGCAGTCAGTGTAGCATGAACATGAACTGGCTTGGGTTATCCTTACCTGAAAGACCTGAAGGTAAGTTGATAATATATAACATTATATTTATATTAAGAACTTTGCTTGCTTTTGATGTTTTATGGCCCTAGATAGTTTTGTCCCTAAAGAGAATAGCTATGTCCCAATGTTAAATTAAGATCATGTCTCCTTTGTTTTGATCACCAATTACTATTTTATGTTGACATTCCTTTTTAATACCTATTATTCTGTGTATTTTGACATGCATAAGAACGTGCTGTTCGAATTGCGTGTATCTTTTTCCTTCAGCACCACCAAGCTACGCAGAAGTGGTGACAGAGGAACAAAGACGAAATAATTTGGCACCAGTGAGTGCTTGTGATGACTTTGAAAGAGCACTTCAAGGACCACTGTTTGCATATATCCAGGAGTTCCGGTTCCTGCCACCTCCTCTTTATTCAGAGGTAAGCACCAACTCAAGTGTGAAATATACTGGATCTTTTAGGAAACCGCATTTCAGACTTCTTAAACACACAGTTACCTATTAAGCCAGGAGAATTGGTATATACATGTAATCCCAGCACTTAGGAAGCCGAAGAGGACTGAGTTTGAGGACAGCCTGAGCTATGTAGCAAGACTTTTATGGCCAAATCCAAAAGAAAAAATAGTCACAACTGGACTTTCATACTAATAAAATAATTTAGAACATCAGATTAAAAGTTAGGGTTGTCAAACTTACTAAGTTTGAGATAGAAGTAAAAGCACTGATTTATTTATTGGGGATGTAAGATAATGTTCTAACCGCAGGCTAAATCATTTTGCATCTTTGAAAGAACAATTATTTTCAACTGGCTATGGAAAAGGCTGGCTGTTGCAAGCATTGGTTAAATAGCTAGAATTATCTTACTCATGATCCTTTTCCAATTCTTGCATATTTTAACATTCTTAGTCATAGGGAAAAATAGAGTATTTCCACATAACTTCATAAACAACAGGAACAACTGCTGAGACTATTCTTTTTCATCTCATTCTTATTCATCTCAGCTAAGCACATAAGGTGAATAACCTTGGTATATACTTGGGAAAAGAAGCTCACAGGACCGTAGAACAATGAACCTAGAAGCAACACACTACATGATGTCAGCACATACCTCACTTGAGAAGCAGCTTGCTTATTGTACCTGGGAATGAGTGAGGCTTCTCTGAGAAGCTCACTATTAACACTGAATCTTGAAGATTGGTCCTCCAAAGGTGGAATCATCCAGACAGGTAGAACAGCATAGGTAAAAGCAAGGAGGGAATAGAACTGATCAACAATTTCAGGATTTTTCACAATGACTAGAACATATAGTAGGGCATGGAAGTTAACTTTAGAGCAATCAGAATTAGCTTGTTCAAAAGAACAAGTAACCAAAAGGTTACTGTAATTTCTATCACTTTTTTTTTTTTTTACAGTATTTCATTTCATGCTCTCTAGTTAAGCAAAAAGAAAAGACGATTGTTATTTCTCTTCAACAAACTGCTCTTTTGTAGTTCAGGGAATGGTTCTAGGGTTGAAAAATAGGGCTTGACCCACTTCCTTAGCCCTTTTTGCTTTGATTATTTTTCAGACAGAATCTTAACTTACGTTTTGGGGCCCAAGGTTGGCTTCACAAGTGATCTTCCAACCTTTACCTCCTAAGGAGCTAGGATTACAGATGTGCCTCACAAAGTCTTGTTCTTTGAGTACACATCTTGATAACATTTTTGGTAGAGCATTCCTTCACCTTCACTTCCACCTCCCAAATAACTGAGATTTACAGGCATTCACCAACACACCTGGATTCAGTCTTTTTTTTTTAATATATAATTGGAACAGTCAGTTATCCTTTGGGTATTATAATATGAAAATCCTCTTCATTGCTCTTCATTTCAGAAACTGTTCTTGAAATTTTTTGAATAGATATTTTCTCTATCCAGTTCATAAAAAAGCTATTATGTGCTAAATATGTCTGCTACTTATTAAGTCCCTCATTTCTGATTTGAGGATTCCTGGCTAACCAGGGGTCAGTTAAAAAAAAAAAAACAATGACAATCTCGACCTACATAACCCACTTTTTAACATCTTTGTCATGAAATTCTGCCTTCTTTCAAAATGAACTTATCCCTCAAATAGGTTCAAGGTGTGATTTAAATATAGGGGTTTTTGTTTTGTTCTGTTTTGGGCCCTTTTTCCTTCAGAAATCTTTTTTACCTAAAATTTCTGAGGCACTTTCCTACATTTTAATGCAAGTGAATGGGTCTAATCCAAAAACTGTTATAGTAAAATACATTAAACCCACCCATCTGCTCTTCTGTGCCCTTTCTCCTCCTCCTTGAGAATTAACTGAAATATTAAGAAAGCATATGAAAGTCACTATGGCCTAATGGAATCTCAGGGCTCTTAAGCATTATGGTTGCCCTCCCATACAGACTGTATCTTACAGGGCACTTTCTTCCATTATCCCTTTTTTCTTGTTCACTTGTTATTATAAAGGTGATATACAGAGGGATTACAGTCACATAAGTCAGGTAATGAAGTACATTTCTTTTTGGGCAATAATCACCCCATCCTTCACTCTGAGAGCATTTTTTTTCACAATTTTATTATTCCTAAAGCCTTGAAGAGATGAATTGGCTTTTTATATACAAGACAATAAAAGGATTTTACAAAGGGATATTGTTGCTTTGAAGATACCCGTATTTGGTGTTTGAGTTTTAAGAGTTACTAAAAGCGAAAGAAAATACCTTTCCAATGAAGACTTAATCAGTAATTTATCCAGTTCTTAACCTAGTTGTTGAATACCAAGGACTTTATGAGTAATGACATCTACACGTCGCATTTCAAACATGAAAAGGAATAATGTAGTATAATTTGCTAACAGTTGGTGTGTCAGTGTGTGCTTTCTGATTACATATTTTGTTACTTTTCTTGACCAGTGCTTACCATTGATGGTTTGCTGTGTTGTCCCTTGATCTCATCAGATAATCTTGTCAATTTTCTCTCTTTTGTTCTAGATTGATCCAAATCCTGATCAGTCTTCTGAGGACAGACCATCCTGCCCCTCTCGTTGAAGGAATACTTGGTTGAATCAAGTTGATGTGGGTTCCGAACTGTATCTCTTCCGGCTGAGGACAGAGGAGTATCTTGGAGACACGTTTTCAGAGGAAGTGGAATTGCTTTTGCCCAGAGAAATGGCAAATACATGAAACAGCCAGTGGTCATGCTTTAGAAGCCTCCAGCAACCTTCTGGGACTGCTCCAACATGCTTGAAGATCTAAGCTTTTTTCCTTTAAAACTGGCACATACCAAGAGCAGTCTTAGCCTATGGTCATTCGTGTCACGTGTCAAGACACCACGTTATAAAGAAGGATGAGTTCCTTCTTTTGATTTGAAAATTTGCACATGCTCAATGCTTACATTGTGCAGTTCCATGTCACTACAGCTTTTTTTTTCCATTTATGCCAGACTCTTGATACTCTTTTAACACTTGTTTGTGTTCAGCACAACAAGGAACAAAAGAAAGCTTTGAAAAACTCTTACATGAAAAAGACGCACTGACATTTTTTTTTAATTTAATATAGCCTGGACTTTACCTGCGTATGCACATGCTCAGAATTGTCCTACTAGGCTGACCATATATCACCTCTTCAGCTTGGATCCTATTGTGGATTTATTTACAAACATCAAATGCCTTCAAGCCAATCTTTTTTGCTGTATGTTTTGCAGCCTACTGTAGTAGATTCGCAACAGATATGTGGTGGGGCGGGGGGGAGGAAAAAGATAAAGAGGAGGAAGCTAATACAAGACTGTCAAGATTGTATACCTTCTTGGTTTCTTTTGAGAATTTGTTGCCTTTCTACTATTACAGCAAAGCAGCATTTGTTACTGACTGCCTAAAATCACTTAATCTCAGGTGAACGCATCACTTGCCAAACTGTTGGAATGCTATTTGTGTTTTGTTGCACTGTTATTTTTCTGTTGTTGTTATTGTTGTTGTTGTTTATTTGGTTGGCTTTTTCAGAGAGGGAAATTTGGAAACGGGACATACACAAAAGTGATAATACACCCACATCCCCTTTTTATCATTGCATACAAGATGAAACTAGCAGAATTAAGAGTGAAGTAGAGAAAGACAGTAGGGCAGGCACCAGCAGAGTTCAGGGCTTTTGCTCTTAGGAATTATTTTTATTATTTTAAAATAATGGAAGCTTTCCAGTCACTGGGGAAAGGAGGGAAAAGTTCATTTATTTTTATACAGAGTTACTTAATTACCTCCAAAACACACATGTTGAAAATCATTTTTGCTGATGCTGAGTATTTTAATGAGAGGAATATAATTATGATTGTGATTAGAGAATCTTTCATACATCTGTCATCCTGTTAATGCTTGACAGAGTATGAAAACCCAAGTTTATTACAAAAGCACTAACTTGACTATTCCAAATAATAGAATGGTTGCTAGAATAATAGCTTGTACATGTGTGTGTGTGTGCGTGCATGCGTGTGTGTGTGTGTGTGTGTGTATGTGTAAGAGAGAAAGGGAGAGGGCTTTTCTTACTGAATTTTTTCCATTAAACTATTTGCTAAACATGAGCAGTCACTCGAGTATCAATAGGTAAATTATTTTTAAGATAATTTATAGTTGAATCATAACTATACCAGCATTTATGATAACATTAAAACTGCATCTTCCAAAGTACTGAGTATACTGATGTATTTTTAGAAGGAGCTCAGCTTCAGATTGTCAGGCTCTTCATGACAATCGGCATTTCTGATGATGCAACATATGTGTGAAATGGATGTCACATCTATCTTGCCCTTTAACCCCATAGTTAATAAGGTGGCTGAAAATAATAACTCTGGCTTGGTGCTTGACCTGGTTAATACTGTCTTAAAGCTTCACACAAAATAGGCTTTTCCATAAGTGGCCTTTAAGAAAACATGGAAGACAATTCATGTTTGAAATAATGCTGACAGGGTGAAGAAAGCCCAGTGTAAAAATGAATCGCGTTTTAAGTGATTCAGTTAAAGGGTTTAGGCTCCCGTAGCAAACTAATACTAGATAACAAGAAAATGGGGGTGAAGTATTTTTTTACTGTTGTTAAATCATTTTGTGAATGTCCCCCTCAAAAGAAGCTGATGGAATACTTGGCATAAAGGGCATTTGGTGGTTTTATTTTTGTTGGGGAGGGGAGATTGTCAGAAAAATACCTTTTCTTTACTCTTATGTCTGACTAGGGAACAATTGTTGATATGCATAGCATTGGAATACATATTACCATATTCTCTTAAAAATAACACATAAAGCAAGAATGACCAATATTCTACTAATTGGCACTGGGTCACAAAAGTGATAAAAAATTAATTTGTAAAACTTTATTAAATAAAGTTTTGTTTTCCATTCAAGTATTTCTTTACTCTTATTTAGAAGCATTACTTTTTTTCTAAATATTGGTCAATTCCTGAAGTAAGATGTGAGGTTCACAGTTGTATTCCAGTATTCAAGATAGATTCCTGATTTTTCAATTAGGAAAAGTAAAATCCAAAATGTTAGCAAAACAAAGTGCAATATTAAGTGTTTGCTTTATAGATTATATTCTATGGCTGTTTGTAATTTCTCTCTCTTTTTTTTTATTTGGTGCTGAATATGTCCTTGTAGGCTCTGTTTTAAGAAAACTTATGTGGGAAACGATTTAATTTTTCCTATTGCTCTTCCTTGTGGAAAATAAAGTTTTTTTTTTCTTTTTTGTATAATTGTTGGAGGAATTATTTGAATCCCAATATTAATAATGCACAACAATACAAGTAAATCCACGTCATTCTGACTAGTAATGGTTTTTTAATTTATTACTAAGGAAAGTTATTGAGGTCTTGAAGGAATTTTCAGTTGTAGTTATTGTTTTACTTAGTAATTCCTGAAGTTATAGGCAATGTTTTTATAAGACCTGTAAGTTAGATGTGTATAAATCTAAGACTTCAACACAAGCCAGACTTAAACGGATAATTAGACATACCAATTTCTTAGCACTATCATAAGTGTAAGTTGCAAAATGTCAAGAAGGCATACTTTTTTCTTTTTTTTTTTTGCTTCTCAAGACTGCAGTTCCACAGTTGAACAAACCTCTAGTTCCAAGAAAACATACATTGTTACACTGAAAAACAGTTTTTCTGAGTTTTAAAAGTAGCAGTAAATACTTATCAAAGATTATCTGAGTTATACAGTGCTTAGTCATCTAAAATTCTTGTAGTCATCTTTAGAAAATCTTTTGAGTGTTCATACATGCAGATGTGGTTGTCCAGTACTTTATGGGCCTTTCCAGGATTCTCTAATAACCTTCTGAAATGTATGTTGACATACGACATTTTGTATACATCTAGTTAGCTTTAGGGAAGTGTTGTCAACCTTATTCACTAAGTGATACACACAGGGCTAAATCAAGGAATAGTGGTGACAGTGGAAAAAGGAATTACTGGATGAGAAGGGAACACAGCTTCCTCATTGGATTAACTAGATGGGGCACTGAATAAGCTATGCAAGATGATAATCCTCATGGGAAAAAAATGAAAAGAAACTATCCAAGATCTGTTTCACTGATTATGTGCACGTGTGTACACCATTTAAGGATTGAATGTTCACTATCACCAACAATGGAAATTCAGAATACTGTTGGGTTGGCTGTGGATCAAACATGCTGAGCAAGCACTCTCATTGACCTAACTAAATGGTTATTTATTTCTGACACAAGATCACACTGTGTAAACTAGGTTTACCTCACACTGACAATGCTGCATCAGCCTCTCCAGTGCTGAGATTCCAAGGGTTTGTTGCCACTCATGGTTTTACAGTTTTTCTTTATATGTTTCCTTGTGTGCTGGTTCTGGGGCTTGAACTAGGATCTGACCACTGTCCCTGAACATTTTTTGCTCAAGGCTAGCCCTCTACCCCTTGAACCACAGCTCCATTTCTAGCTTTTTGGTGGTTAATTCTATGTATCTCACAGACTTTTCTGTGAGTCCGGACTGACTTCAAATGTTCATCCTCAGATCTCAGCACACTGAATAGGATTATAGACATGAGCCATCAGCACCCAGTTTAGAATACTTTCAGCCTTTTTTTTTGGCTGGGGGGGGGGGGGGGGAGGTCATGCGGCTTGTACTCTGGGCTTGAGCACTGTCCGGCGCTCTTCAACTCAAGGTGAGCTCTCTACCACTCGAGCCACAGTGCCACTTCTAGTTTTCGAGTGGTTTATTGGAGATAAGAGTCTCACAGACTTTCCTGCCCAGCTGGCTTTGAGCCACAATCCTCAGATCTCAGCCTCCTGAGTAGCTAGGATTACAGGCATGAGCCACCTGCGCCCAGCAAACTTTCAGCCTTTCTATACATGTCTCCTAGACAAACAATTGCAGTGGGTTATCTTGCTATTATTTTGTTTCAACTATACTTGCCAAACTACTAATCTTAGCAGATTAGCTTCAAAAAATGTTATATATTAGTGATTCCAGGGGTATATTGAAAACATCTGAATCTAGGAATCCAAATAATGCCCTAAAGATACACTCTTGTCTTTCATTTTTTTGAAATTATCTTCTTTATATAGACCTTGTAATCAAACATCGACTTTTATGTTTTCCTGTAGAAGGACTAGGAAAATAAACAGCTTTTATAGGATAACACACACACACACACACACACACACACACACACACACACACAGAGTTTCACTATGTAGCCCAGTATGGCCTTGAATGCAGAATCCTCCCTCAGTCTCCCAAGTGTCATTTCAGTTTCCCAAGTGCAGGGATTGCAAGTGTGTGCCACCATACCCAGTTTATGAGAGATACTAAATAGCTGCTACCTAAGTCATGTTTCACACAACATAGAACAGACTAGACAACAAAAGACTCTGTACAAAAAGAGATCAATATACTGTTGCTATTTCAAAATATTGAAATCAGCAACAGCAGCAACCCTTTGAATTCATCTGAAAAGGAGTATATGGGGCTAGGGGGTGTCTGAAGTGGTATGTGCCAGCCAGCAAGTGCAAGAGCCTGAATTCAGGGCCATTTTCCCCAGAGTTGTCCCAGAACTGCAAAAGTATCTTTCTCTTTCTCCCACCCCACCCCCCTCTCTCTCCCTCTCTGTTTCTCTCTCTCACCCTACCCTCCCTGCCATCTTCCTGGCTGCAGTGAATTGGTACAACCATGGACTGGAACCACAAACCAAAATAAATCATTCCTCTTATATGTTGTGTTTCTCAAGGATTGTGTCATAGAAACAGAATGCTGACTAACATGGAGGGGTAATTTCAAATCCAAGACAACTCATGATTTGATTCATGCCTGGGAATGGGCCCAGTATCAGGCTTTAGCTGAGGCTCAGCATGAAGTTAAACATTAAAAATAAAAAAATTGAGACCAGCTTCACAGACACCAACTTAAATGAGATCAAGACTGTATGCAGAGCAAAAAGCAATAAAGTCACTTTCAAACTGTTACGGTTTGGATTAGGAGTGCCCCCACACAAAGGCATATGGGTCCAGGGTTTGATTTCCAGCAGGCAGTGATATTTTGGGAGGTTCAGAAACTTTAGGCGAGGTGACGAGGAGACACTTGTGATTTTTCTGCCTTAGTCTAGCAAGTGCTGTAATTTCAGCCATATACAGTTGTACCCAACTACTGCTTATGTCTATGGGCTACCTTGCTGAATTTTGCAAAGCCCTAGGTTCAATCTCCACTATGACAGAAAAACAAAATGAAATGGTGCTGATCTCACAAATATAACAATGATGCCCAATTAATGAGTCAAATTTTTATCCTGTGATTATTTTAAATGATAGGAATTTTTGCCAAATGGGTAAATTGTCCTTGATTCTTTTTTTTTAAATTTACATTGCAATCAATCATTCTTTTCTTTTATTGTCAAGGTGATGTAGAGGGGTTACAGTTATATGCATAAGGTAGTGAGTACATTAATTGTCGAACTTGTTAGCCCTCATTTTTCTCCCTCTTTTCCTCCCTCCCCCGTGAGTTGTAGAGATCATTTCCAACATATTGTCTTTTGTATATCATTGTTGCATTGTCCCCCTTGTCCTTTGTCTCACCATTCTGTTGTTCCCCTTCCCCTCCCTAATTCCAATAATGTATAGCCAATACCAGGGTAACAAAAGCAAATACAGTGACAGCAGGGGATATACCATAGGGAGAAAAGCATACAAAAGAAATAAGAAATCACATATTACATTAAAAACAACCACAAAGAAAAACCTTTTATGTTCACGTCTTAGAGGTTATTATGCTTAGCATCATCTTATATGGTCATATGTACATAGCTATTAAGCTATTCTGTTCATCTGCTAAGATTATCCTAGATATATACTAATTATTACAAATAAGGGAGACCATGGGACCTATGTTTCCTTAGGCCTGGCTTACTTCACTTAGTGTAATTTTTTTTCCAGGTCCTTCCATTTCCTTACAAATGGGGCCGTGTGGCAGTGTCATTCTGATGGAAGCATAGAATTCATATATATATACATATATCTCACATTTTCGTATTTTCTTGATCCATTCATCTATTGAGGGGCATCTGGGTTGGTTCCATATCTTAGCTATGGTAAACAATGCTGTGATAAACATAGTTGACTGGTAGCTTTAGTTTTGTTTGCAGTCATTTGGGTAAATAGGATTGTTGGGTTATAGGGGAGCTCTATGTGTAGTCTTTTGAGGAACCTCCATACTTCTTTCCAGAGTGGCTGAACAAGTTTACGCTCCTACCAACAGTGTGCAATAGCATTCCCTTTTGGCCACATGCCCTCCAGCATCTGTTGTTATTATATTTCTTGATTTTAGTCATTCTAACTGGGGTGAGGTGGAATCTCAATGTTGTTGTTTTGATTCGCATTTCTTTTATGGCTAGAGAAGTTGAACGTTTCTTCATTTGTCTATTGACCATTCTTATTTCCTCTTCAGAGAAGTCTCTCTTTAAGTCTTGAGCCATCTCCCTCCCCCTTTTGTTTTTATTTCTATAGGTTGTGGGGCCTGAACCCTGAGCCCTGTCTCTCAGCTCTTCAGCTCAAGGAGAGAGCTCTATCACTTGAGCCAAAGTCCACTTCTGGCTTTTTCTGCTTCTGTGGTGCTGAGAAATCAAACCCAGGATCTCATGCATGCAAGACAAACACTCTACCACTAAGCCACCTTCCCAGAATCTAGTCCACTTATTAATGGGGCAATTGTTTCTCTGAGGATTTGTTTCTGGGGACTTGTTTTTTTTCTTTTGGTCGTGGAGCTTGAACTCTGCGCCTGGTCGCTGTCCCTCAGCTCTTCAGCTCAAGGCTAGCGTTCTGCCACTTGAGCTACAACGCCACTTCCGGCTTGCTGGTGGTTTTATAAATTGGAGATAAGAGTTTCACCGACTTTCCTGCCCAGGCTGGCTTTGAACCACGATCCTCAGATCTCAGCCTCCTGAGTAGCTAAGATTACAGGCGTGAGCCACCGGCGCCCGTTTTTTGTTTTTTTTTTTTCAATTAATGAGGCCCTTATTGTTGGGAGCCAAAAGTTGAGTCTCTCAACATAATAGGCTTAACTATCTCACTGGAACATCTTAAGGCTGAGTTTACAGAATCCCACCTTTTCACCTTACCCTAAGCAAACATCCTATAGCTGCTTCGGCCAATGAAAAGCTTCCTTAACGGCCAATGAAAAAGCTTCCTTATTCCAAGCATATAAATACAGCTGTGTGAAAAATAAAATTTAGC